TTTTGGAAATATTGGAGCACATAAGGTATATTATGAAAGTTAATATCACCTGTTTCTTTCGGAGTGGCTACTAGACAATTTTAGGTTACATACGTGGCTCTCCAGCTCTGCTCTAGAAAAAGGCTGGGAGGAAATGCCTCAAGTCATTGACATAAGGAAGGAAAGGGAGAAATCTTCACTTTAACAATAATTGTTATGTAAACACATTCTTTAATGAGAGGGGAGAAGAGAATTTAGGACGGGAAAACTTTGTTCCCAAGGCAGGGAAACATCAAGGACAAGAGTGCCGGGCACAGGGGTGTTCTCCAAAAGGGGAAGCCCTGGGAATGGGGCTGAGGGGTCTACCCGGCTTCAAAGCTGTGGCCAGTGGAGGAAGGGTATTCTGGAAAAGAACACCAGACTTCTGTGGCCTGCAGGTGCTCACACACCTTTGAAAATCTTCGCTGAGAATGGAAGGCACAGCCCTTGGAACTACTTGACCACACCCTGGCTGCAGCTGATTGGCCCCAGCGCTGGACACCTGACCCCAACTGGACCAATCAGATTCTCACTAGGGGGGGACGTGAAATTGGACCTGTTTCCCAGAGCCACTTATTAAAGGGTTTGGATTGTTGACCCAGTATGTAGGTATATATTTTGGTGGCTGGCCTGCATGGGGATGTGAACCCTTGCTTTGGTGTTACAGCATCGTGCTCTAACAAACTGAGCTAACCGGCCAGCTCTGACCTGGAATTACAGAGGCGAAAATTAAGGCTCAGGAGCTAAACCGACTTACCCCAGGACCCACAGCAAGTAAAGAGTGTAGTTCCCATTCGAACCCAGGACCACCTGGTTCTCAAACCATTACTGTTAAGCTCCTCCAGGACACCGTTTGCAACTCCTAGGCCATGGGGAAATCAGAAGCCCAGGCATTTATATGTAGTCAACTGGAGAAGTAGACAGTGTTTCTCCAGGGAGAAGGGAAGCAGATGGAGTGCAACATGGATGCAAGCAGAGCTGGGGAGAAAGATGGTCGAAGAGAAATTCCCTGTGGTAAGATGCTTAAGATCTGAGATACTTTACGGGATATGATATTTATTTCATCTGTGGGCTTCCTGCCTCCTCCCTACTAGAATAGAAGCTACAAGTAAATGGGGACTTAGGCATCTGGTACAGAGCCTAACATTAAAAGCACTTGATAGGCCAGCTCACTTGGGAGAGTGCGGTGCTGATAACAGCAAGTCAAGGGTTAAGATCCCCTTACCGGTCATCTTAAAAAAAAAAAAAAAAACTTGATAAATACTTGTCGAAAGAAAGAATTGATGGATGAATGCGCAATGTAAAAAAAAAAGGCCCCCTGTTACGTATTGTGTCCTGTCACCTTTGTCTATGATTCTCCAAACTCAATACCCATCTTAGACCCTGGGCAAGGGCATGCTGTTCTAGACCCCATTTTTTAAGGACCCTGAACCACACACACACAGGGAGAAGAGTTCCTGGGGCCAAGGGTTTGTGCCCACCCAGAATTCACACCTCTCTTGGAGTTTATGCTTTGGGAATCTGTGGTGGGCAGGATATCCATTCATACCCAAATACCTGGAACTTGGAAATATGTTACTTTACATGATGAAAGACTTTGCAGATAGGATTAAGTTAAGGATCTTGAAATGGGGAGGTTATTCTGTATTATCTGGCTGGGTGCAATGTAATCATGAGCATTCTTATAAAAGGGAGGCAAGAGGGTCAGTCAGAGAAAGAGATGTGTCAATGTAAGGAGAGGTCAGAATGATTTGGGGCCATGAGCCAAAGAATGTGGGCAGCCACTAGAAGGTGGAGATGGTAAGGAAACAGATTCAGGTGGAAAGACAAGGAGCTTCAGGTTCTCTAATGGAACCCTGAGAGGAGTCTGAGGATTCTTAACTTGAATTTAATAGCCTTTCTGGTTGATAAGAAAGTATATCCGTCAAGGCAGGAGAGCCCAATATGTTGAATGGTTTGCTAGCCTGATTTATAAAATTTAAATAGTTACATATGGTATGTGAGCTTCCATTTATACTCTTGCATCAAGCTCTGTAAAACTTTGCAGTGGACCTGCCCAAAGCCTTGCTTAAAAAAGAAAAGTCTGTGACAAAAATCACCTCATGCTAATGGTGATTCAAGGAAGAGGGTAAAGGATAAAGAGAAAATTCCATGACGGGGGCGAAGTGGGGCAGAGAGAACAGCAGTTACTGGAGGCAAGATAAGAACTGGTGACTAATAAGGAAGTGCTGAAGTTCTCAGTATCAGAAATGAGAGGCTTTAGGGCCGGCCCATGGCTAACTTGGGAGAGTGCGGTGCTGATAACACCAAGGCCACGGGTTTGGATCGTATATAGGGATGGCCGGTTCACTCACTTCAGAGAGCGTGGTGTTGACAACACCAAGTCAAGGGTTAAGATCCCCTTATGGTCATCTTTTAAAAAAAGAAAAGAAAAGAAATGAGAGGCTTGTAGGGAAAGCACAGAGAACACACAGAGAGATGGGAGATAAGAGACCATGTGACCCCCAGAAATTGAGAGAGAAGATAGAACACTCGAGAAAGGAAAAGGCACGAGAGAGAACTTGCTGGGTAGGGAAATACAAACTCCATGAGGGCGGGAAGGGCAGATGGCTTGGCTGCCACATCTCCATGTACAATCTTCTCCTTTGCCTTCTTCTATAACAGAATCTGGAAGGCTAACAAATTCAGTTTCCCTACTTCCCTTGCAGCCAGGAGAGGCCATCTGACACATTCTCAGAAATAGCCCAAAGTCTCTGTGAAAGGCATATTTTCCCCAATAAAAAGTCAAAGCCTTGCCAGAAGAAAACCCTCCACTCTTTTACTCTTCCTCCTCCTTGCCTGGAACTAAGATGTGACCCACAGAGGTGCAGCAACCTTCTTGTGACCATGAGGCAACCAAAATGAACATGAAGTTCTATGCTGCAAGCTCAGTGGAACAAAAATATGGAAAGAGTTCGGAGTGTTAATAGTGTCTTTGAGCTATCATGTCAGCCCTGGACTTCTTACTGTGAGAGATAAAGAAACCTCTGTCTGTTTAAGCACTCTTAACTGATCCAGGAAACTTACCTATTTTGTTGACTATTATTTTTTTTATTTTTTTATTTTTTTTTTGTCTTTTGTCTTTTTCCGTGTCTGGCAACGGATCGCAACCCTCAGTGTTGCCCCCGTACCGGACCGGGGACCGGCAACGGGATTGCAACCCTCAGCCTTGCTCCCGCGCCTCGCTCAGCCAGTGAGCGGGAACCGGTCTGCATGTGGGATCCGAACCCTCGGGCGGGAGCGCCGCCGCGCTTCCCAAGCGGTGCACCATCCAGTGCGCCACCGGGCCGGCCCTTGTTGACTATTATTATCCAGTGCAGAAACTGTACCTGGCATAACAGTTGGTGCTCTTTGAACATTAAATGAATTAATGACTTTCACATTTCCATAAAGCCTTACTTTCTGCAACTGGTTCTGAGAGATTCCCCTGTATCCGTATGCTGACCCATCCATTTTACTTAAGTCAGATTGGCTGGGTTCCTTTCCTTGCAGCACAATTCTAATCAAGACAGAGGGGTAACAAAGATCCAGCTAGGACTGGCTACTTGAGGGGTGAGCAGAGGGTGGACCTTGGGGAAGGTGATCTAGATGATGCGGTGGCCTCCACGCTGGTCCTACTTATGCTGCCCTCCATCCATTCTCCACACTGCAGCCAGATGGGGCATTTAAAAACAGAAATCAAATCACAGCCTTCCCTACTTAAAGTCTCCCCACTCCGTGTTTTCTCACTGCCCTTGGAATCAAGTCCAGCCCTGAGCTTAGCCTCAGATGTCACACCAACTGTCCCCTACTTATCTATCCTTTTACCTGGGCTCTCTGCCCATCAGCCACACTGGCCTTCCTGCTGTTCCTCCAATAAACCAACACCACACCTGCCTAAGACTCATTGCACACACTGTTCCCTCTGCCTGCAAGGTTCTGCCTCCATAAGTCCATCTGGCCAGCTCCCTCACCGCCTTCAGGGCTCTCTGCTCAAATCTGAGAAGGCTGCCCTGAACACCCTAGTGAAAATATCCCAGCCCAGCCATACTCGAGCTCACCATCACTTTTCTGAGATGATCTTGCCAATTTTTCTGTTTGCATATTTATTGTTCATTTCTCACCTCTATACCCTAAGCCCTCTGAGGGCAGGAATTGTGGTCTACTTGTTCACTGTCTAGCATACAGTAGGGAATAAGGAAATAAATACATGATGAAGGACTGGATAAATGAGGGACAGGGAGAGAGTTACTGTGTTCAGTTTTGTTGTAATCTTGGGCTGCACTTTGGAGCCTGAACTTAACTTTATCCCTATGATTTGGGAAACTGATGTGATAAAAATAAAAAACATTAGTTCAGTTGGTTAGAGCACAGCCTTGTAACACCAAGGTCAAGGGTTTGGATCCCCATATTGGCCAGCCCCCCCCCCACCACCACTGCAAAAAAAAGGAAAGAAAAGAAAAAAGAACAACATAATCCAAATATTGATTCCAGTAAGTTTAGATCTAATGATAATAACAATGATAATGATAATATCAACAAACACCTACAGTGTGCCAGGCACTGTTCTAAGTGTTTAGCATGTATTAACTAATTTATTTCTTATAATGACCTTATGATCATTATAATGGGGATGCTCTTGTTATCCTCATTTTACAGAGGAGGAAACTGAGGTTCACAGAGGTTGAGTAACTTGCCCAAGGTCACAGAGCTAAGAAGGGGCAGAGCCAGGATTTGAACTCTGGCAGTCACCCCAGAATCTATAACTACTGGATCCCTGAAAACATTACAAGGATCCTACTCCTTGAAGGGGGCGTTCACTCCCCACCCTCACTCCGCCCTCCAAGCTGACCCACCCTGGGCTAACCTTGGAGGCTGATGAATGAACCTTGACCCCTCACCAGCTCCTAGCATCCTCAGGACCCTCAATGGCCCCCCACTTCCCGGCCCAAGTCTGCGCTGACCCTGCCTTGAGCTGAGTGAGCGCTTCCTCTACGCGGGGCTGGTTGTAGCGCACCATGTAGCTGTGCATGTCGGGGTAGTTGCTGCGGATGTTCTTCTCTGTGGACCCATTGGGCACCGTCCCAAACTTCAGGGGCGGGTACTGCTCCTGGGGCCGCTGGAACTGGGGCAGAATGGGGAGTTATTAGGGTGCCCCTCAGGGATATCCCTGACCCAAATGCCCCATTCTGAGGGACACATGCCAACTGGCAGACACCCCAGTCCCAAAAGTGTTTCTCAAATTTGCTCGCCACAGTTGGAATCACTTTTCTACTCCCACCCAGCAGACATAGCTGCAGATAGATAATCAGACAGGAAATGCCAAAAGCTTCCTAGAGGCTCCAGATGTGCCAGGCATTAACCCTTAACTTGATGAATCATGGGAGGTCCCTGGGGCAGGTGCTGGCATGGCAGGGGCCGGGGCAATTGCTATTTTCCAATCCATTCGAAAATAGTTCACTGTTTTAACAACAGATGTAGCCAGACATGTGTGTGCTGGTTCAGTATCAGGTGTGTATATGACTAAAACAAGTTTCATAAAACCATACTCACCTTTACAACATGAGATTCAGTCAATGTCTATTCTATTCTATGCCATACCATTAAAAAAATGCTTATTGCAACCCCTTGAACTGATTTCTCAACCCTGTAATAGGTCATGACAGCCAGTTGACTACTTCAGTCTCAAAGTGTGCCTACAGATCACAAGTCCCTGAACAAACTGTGATCACAGTGTGATAAGTACAGAAATTGAGGGCTGGCTGGTTAGCTCACTTGGGAGAGCGTGGTGCTGGTAACACCAAGATCAAGGGTTCAGATCCCCGTACTGGCCAGCACCCACCTCAAAAAAACAAAACAAAACAAAAAAGTACAGAAATTGAGAGAGTGAGCATTTAGAGCCATTTGATAAAATCATTTTATGTCTGTTGAATATAATAAATAAAAATTGGTGTTTGACTTTTGTATGTCTTGGTTTTAAATTTTATTTTACTTTTCTAGTCATTAATTTCTGTTGTATTTTTTAAAATATCGGTCTCCAATGGATTAGAAAGTTTAAAAACTAGCCCCTCATCACAGTTTGAGAGAAGCACTGGTCTAGAATATTTCATGTGGTACCACTACCCGTAGAACATTCGAGGACACCCTCTTTTCCAAGGAATATTTAAATAGTTCATTGCGAAACATATCCTTTCTCCTTCCAAAACATTCCATTCTGCCATTCTGGAATTCCTCTTGGGAAGAGACTCCCATGAATACCCCGTGACCTGCTACATGCCAAGCTCTGTGACTGCCAACCCCAGACACCACCTCCCACAAACACACCTTGCGGTCACTGAGCCCAGACACGGTGTCCACATACTCCTCCTGGATCATGAAGGCAGCCAGGTTGGCTGTGTAGCTGGCAAGGAAGATGACGGCGAAGAAGGCCCACACCAGCACCATAATTTTGCTGGTGGTCCCCCGGGGGTTCTCCACAGGCACTGAGTTATTGAACACCAGGGCCCAGAGCAGCCAGATGGATTTCCCAATGGTGAAGGTTGAGCCTCCAGGGCCTGCAGGGGGCCAGGACAGAGACATCAACCCCAAATCCCTTCTGCTCAATGAGGGAGCAGAGAGAGCTACAATTCCTGGTGGCCCTCTAGGCCTCTGGCATCCAGAGTGGCCATAACTTCACTCCAGAGGCTGCCGGGAAATGTAGTTCTATCCATGACCAGGGAGTGCTGAGGTAAAATGATAGAGGTAGGGGACTTACGCTTGCCTGTGGCCAGGCTGCGGTTGTAGCCGACAGGACTGAGGTACTCGAAGATGAAAACGGTGACAGCTACCACAGTGAGGCACATGACGAACATCATCACCCACACGGCAGGGCTGTAGGGTTCTGGGGACAAGAGAGAGGTATGTGGTCATGCGTCAGCCAAGTAAAGGATTCAGGGGACCACAGGTATGTGAACGAAACGCAGCCCAGATCTGACCTAGTCCTATTATATCTCTTTCCCTGGTTCCCCATCTTGGAGACAGCCCTATTGCCCCCCCAGACCCTGGGAGGCAGTTTGTCTCAAAAAGAGCCATCACAACCATTACTGTGGTTTCAACCACCAAATATAAACTGTCTCTTAAATGTTTCCTCAGCTCTCTTTGCTTCCACCATCTTGCAGTGTGAGATCCCTGAGTCACTGTCGCCATCACCAGATGGACTTTGGACTTCCCAGCATCAGAAACTTGTACAATTAGACTTCTGGTCAAGATGGCGGAATAGACAGTCCCTACCATCACTCTCTCCCACAAATCAACAGATTTAAACTATAAAAACAGGGCTGGCCCTTGGCTCACTCGGGAGAGTGTGGTACTGATGACACCAAGGCCACGGGTTCGGATCCCATATAGGGATGGCCAGTTGCTCACTGGGTGAACGTGGTACTGACAACACCAAGTCAAGGGTTAAGATCCCCTTACCGGTCATAAAAAAAAAAAAAATAAATAAATAAACTGTAAAAACATAACATCAAGTGCATATGGAATGGGCAGACGTCCAGCGGGGGAGGCAGAAGCTCCGCGGAGACCACATGCCCTGTGGGGCCGCTGTCGCATGATCCGGCAGATAGGCTTCACCGCTGCCACCCAGCTCCATTCCCAGCCCAGCCCAGTGCGCACAGAGTGGGGAGAATTCCGGCAAGGGAGGTGTAGGCTCTGCAGAAACCACACAACCTGTGGGGCTGCCACTGCGTGATCCAGCAGGTAGGCTTCACCCGCCACCCAGCTCCATCCCAAGCCCAGCCTAGCACGCACAGAACAGGGAGACATCCTGCAGGGGATGGGGAAGCTCTGCAGAGACCACACGCTCTGCGGTGCCTCAGCGCATCCCAGCAGCCCGGGCCAGAGTGCACGGAACAGGAAGACATACAGCACAGGAGGCGGGAGGCGGAAGCCCAGCAGAGACCACACACCCTGCGGTACCGCCCTGTTATCCAGCAGCCCGGCAGAGTCCAAGCTGACCAGAGAGGGGGTTCCCCGGAGAGGCCCAAGACCTGAGGCAACCACACATGCAAGGCACTTGTGGCCAACTGAGTAGTCACTGAGGTAGCCATACCAAATTGGCAACCACAGCAACATCTTAGTCAGTCAATAGTGTCAAACCTGTGGACTGTGAAACCCTGCCTCAATGAATAAACATCAAAGAAAAGATACCAGAAGTATGAAAAATCAAGAAAGTACACCACTAAAGGATAATCACTCTCAAGCTCTAGATCCTATAGAACAAGAAGCCCTTGAAATGACTGACGAGGAATTTCGAGTGATAATTCTAAGGAAACTGAATGAGATACAAGAAAACTCAGCTAGACATCATGATGAAACGAGGAAAAGTATACAGGACCTGAAAGAGGAAAAGTATACAGGACCTGAATGAGGAAAAGTATACAGGACCTGAAAGAGGAAATGTACAAGGAAATCAATGCCCTGAAAAAAAAATGTAGCAGAACCTGCTGAACTGAAGAAGTTATTCAGTGAAATAAAAAGCACAATGGAGAGTTTAATGAGCAGGCTTGCGGAAGTTGAAGAGAGAACCTCTGAACTTGAACATGGGCTGTTTGAAATACCACAAGCAGACAAAAAAAAAAAAAAAAAAAAAAAAAAAAAAAAAAAAAAAAAAAAAAAAAA